AGGCATTCAAAGCTATCCTATAGTTTTCTCAGAGAATATCAGTATCACACGGTCCCCCAGGACCATGATGATGAGAGACAAATCAAAACAAAACAAAAGTATTTAATAATACATGAACACATAAAAAGAAAATCACTGTATAAACTAGAAAAAAATTGAGTCTCTCCTAGCTAATATGAGTGACTGCTGTATTTTTGTAAATTATAGCTTTAGTCCACCTTTTAGATAAAATTAATTTTGCTACCCAATGATAGAATTATCCCTAAAACTCACAAGATCCAATCCAGAGCAAGCTTTGCTTCCTAGAACCCTTTTCCAAATCACCAAGCATGAATCCATAATCTTTTTTTTTTAAGAGAGATTTTTGTTATAGAGTGTGTGCATTTGCTGGAAAGACAGGGAGAGATGGAGAGAGAGAAAGTGAAAACTCACACCTTAGCGAGAATGGCCCGACTGCAACCCCTTCTCCTCCACTCTCCTCTCAAGATTTTGGGCATGCATGCACATGCACCTGGCATGAGTTTCAAGCCACTGGGTTCAGGACTTGAACTGTGGTTGATTATGTAGTAGTCAAGTGCCTTAGCCACTACATCACCTGCTGGTTCCCATGGATCCATAATCTTACAATTCCTTTCTATATTGTCATTCTGAAATGCTCAATCCCTGCTGTATGTGATCCTTCTTGTGATGAGTCTATAAATCCAACTTTGTTAAACTATAGGACTACAGGTATCTTCCCCCCTCTCTTATTATTTTATTTATTTATTTATTTTTGGACTGGAAGGTATTGAACATGTCATTTGATTCTCAAAGCAAACCGAATATGCTCTCATTGAAAGTGAAGAAGGTAAGACTATTAAATCTTAAGTAACTTAGATCAGGTTAGTTAGTTGGAGGAGTTTGACAAAATATGTATCGTACATGTACTATGATATGAACCAAGCAATATAGGCTAAGGCATTTAAAAATCAGAGTGGTTATTTTTTTATCTCACTTAAGTCTTACAATATACATTTTCACATGAAAATATACAGATTCATAGAAACGCCTGCCTAAGGGCACACTGGTAATGAGTAGTGGCCATGTACGTAGCCTTAAGGCAGGTGCCAGTACAGCCCCGTGACCTTGGCTATGTCTCTGTGACCATTGACAGTATTTCTGGAGGAAGAGAAGCTTGGCAGTGATGATTCTGGGCCCTTTGGTGGCCTTGTGTACATTGGGTACATCATGTGGCCTTGGGTGCATTGCTAAACTCTCTGTGCTCTCATTTCCTTAAGTGGAAAACAGAAATAAAGATTTTACCAACTTCATGGAGTAATTAGGAGGATCGTATTAGGTAATATGTGTGTCGAGCCTAGAATGCTTCATGTTCCTTAGCAAATGCTCATTAAATATGCCTTTTACTAGAACCACAATTCAAATGAAGTTGTCAAGGCTCCACAACCCAAGATTTTTGTCATTTGATCTTTGTCTTTTCAGAATAGGCAGTTAACATCAGAGAGGCTTTTCAAAGAAAAAAGGATATTGGGAAGGATGAGCACAAGATCAGGAAATGTGATTGAAAAGAGGTGAAATGAAATACAAAGTCTCTTTGGACTCCTAAGGTGGGACCAAAAAAATATGTGGGAAGGCGTGTGCTTGAGGGAAGAGTGATAAGAAAACTGAGGTCATGTTCTCAGAGCCAGGGTTCAGGATACTGTGCTTAGAAGTCACTAAAGATAAAGGGTGGAGTGGCAAGAAGGAATGATGACATAGCTTGCATGCCCTAAGCCCACATCCCCAGGTGGGAGGCTAGCCCAGGCTGTCTCCAAAGATCCTCCTAGTAGTTTACTTTGAGCCTGAATCTTCCTTTCCTCTGGGCCTGGGAGCCTGTACCCCTTGTGATCTAAAACAATTAGTGTTAGCTCTAGGGACTCTGCCTGTGGGGATAAGATTCCCTGAAGAGGAAAAAGTCTCCGATAGATTCAGTCTATTTCTTACACATACACAGAACAAGGCAGACACTGAAAGGTGTTCAGTAGTTGGTAGGTCACTGGGGGATACACTAGCTGTCGCAACTGTGGACCTGAGAGGCGTACCTGATAATAAAGGATGTGAAAGCAGATACCATTTCAAAATCAGAGCGGAAAAGAGGTCTGATGGAAAGAGGACTTACATAACTGGGACTTGGAATAGCCACTTTTGAGAATGTTCAGAGTTTCAGATTTGAAGAGACCTTAAAGACACCTTGTCCATGGTCCTTTTCATTTGATACTTTAATTCACTCCACAATCAAAAGGTTGGCTAGCAATTGCTTTGAAATGTTGAGATACAGGAAACTGTCCTGTGTGCTGCCTGCTACAGGCTGGCTATGTGTTGGCACGAGTGGTAGAAAGCAAACGTTTCTGAAAATAATCATTCATGATATAGGAGTTGTGACTAAGAAGATCTAATGAGGTATTGTATTATCTCAGACACAGCTGAATTTGGAACAACTTCACTTGGAGAGAGCCTTACACAGATTCACTTACTGGGAGGAATTATGGATTTTTGGTAATGTGAGAATTTAGAGTCCAAAGGACTTGGGAATGCTTTTAAAATTATTTCATGTGTCTAGACCTTATTTATCTACACATACAGTTGGCTTCAGAAAGGCCAACACAGAGAAAGAGGAAACATCATCAGTTACAATTCCTTGCACCCAAAAGATAATAAAAAATATTTTTGAATTTAATCTCTGTGAGTTGATAGGAATAATGACCATCCCTTTGGCAGGGTTACAGGAAGTGAGGACAGAATAAATTTGGGATAAGTTCATTAACTATATTGAGCTTCACATGCTGAAAGGATAAAAATGATGTGTTCAGGTGCAAATGAAAATAACACAACTTCAGTGGAACCTAGAATGACAACAAAAACATATATGTATTTTAAGAAACAGAGTTGAGTCCACAATTCCATGCTGTGTTCCAGGCATTAGGAGGAGGATATGCAGTAATTAATGATAAACTACATTTACTCTCAAAGATATTACCAAGGTGTGAAGGCAGACTTATTTAGTAAGTGGACACTGGAAATGTTACAACAACACAGGAGGAGGAATAGATCACTTTTTTCTGGAGGATTCAGGAAAGGCTTAATTAAGGAGATAATTTTTGACCTGATTTTGAAGGATGGCAAGCAGTTCCCAGATGGAAAAAAAGAGAGAGAGAAGTATACCAGGAGTAAGTGACCAGGCCGGCAAAAGTACCAGACGTGTAGCCAAGTCAGGATTGATTTTAACATATCTGTCTTCTATAATTGGAGAGGCGAATGCACAGTCTAGTCAGAATGAAAGCAATTCAGAAAGAGTCCAATAAATACTAATTGCTTTGAATAAATTTAGCATTTTAAAATGTCAAACTCAATTTTATTTTTACGGTAGAGCATTTGAGTTTGGGAGGAATGTTTGGAGTTGGATGAGTGGTGTCAGTTGAAGGTTAAGTATTGGTTTGCTAATTATTAAATTAATTGATTAAATGAATGAGTGTGATTAAACAATTTTTATTGAATATCTTTAATGTGACACTCATTATTCCAAATGCAAAGCTGACTAAGGAACGACTGCATTGTGTCAGTATGATGACCGGAACTGAGCAGCCCTCTTTGGATACTATATTAACTGCATGAGGTATGACAAAACACATTGATTATCGTTTTTATGCATTTAAAGTCACATTGTAGGGTTATTTGTTCTTTCTGTTTCTCTTTTTCTTCTTCTTTATTTTCTTTTTGCATCTACTTCACATCATGCCTGAGAACAATTAGAATGTCTGATACTTTTTTGTGTGACATCTTATCAAATCATCCACATACTCCCCACCTGTTTTTCTAGCATTGGTTTCCTGAACATACAGGATTTAAGCTTTGTGTTGCTTTCTCATGTTTGGTTCTCAATCTGTCACCCACTTATTTCACTTTCTCCAGTGACATCTCATATCTTTTAGGATAAGGTCCCAGTTCACTGGGTGAGCTTTACTAGTCATCTTATCCAACAAAAGAACATGTATTTCTCTAATGCAAGCTGCTTACTGCTCAGGGTGGATATCTTTTGTCTGAAATACTTCTTTTTCTCTTTTATCTAGCCAATTCTTACTGTTCTGGGAAAATTCAACTCAAGGGCTTCCTTTACTTACAAGTCTTTCGGTCATCCTCGTCTGAGAAATGAGCCTTTTCCTTGTTATTCTGCAGTGTTCTGTACTTCACAGGTTCTATTGAAATAACTGATTGCTGTGTCTGTCTCTTCTACAAGGCTGAAAACTTTCAGGTGGCAGGGATTGTACCCTGTTGAATTTTGTATTTCTCATGCTCAACACATACATGCTAAATACCTACTGATAAAAGTCAACTGAACAATAAGGCTTGCTATAGGAAATGGAAAATTGTCAGAATCTCTCCATTCTCTCTAGTCCAAAGGTTCTCTTCTGTAATATAGGCATAGTAATGGTACTTGTTACATCGGCTATATGAAAATTAGGTAAAATAATGAATGCAAAATACCTGTAAAAATGTCTGATGCATAGAAAATGGTAAGAAGAGCTAGCTACTGTTGTTGGTTAAGGTAGTGTTATAGTGATAGCACTAATCGTTGTAACTAAGTGTTGTCTTGGGACAGGACAGTGGAGCAGTGGCAGGACACATTGTTCTGCAAGGCTGACCTGTATGGGAAGGTTCTGGGTTTATCCAGAGGCCTTCCTGTGTAGACCAGGACTATCTATGCCCATGACCCAGGGCTGACTGAGGCTTGGGGTCGATCACAGTGTCAAGATCCTTTTGGAGATTCCCCTCTCTCTCTCTGCCATCTCATACTTGTGGAAGAAATATATGTATAAACATATATACAAACTTTATTTTAAAAATTAAAAATAAAAGTGTTACCTTTGAATTAGAGAGTGAGAAAGAGAGAGAAATGAAGCCTCCACTTGGGTTTGGCAGTCATCTTGATAAGCATTTTCTCCTTTCCTTCTCCACCTCAGTCTCCCATGGAGTGGCACAACCACTCAAGCTTGAATGAATTTGTGCTCCTCGGCTTCCCCAGTGTGGGACACATCAGGGGCTGGCTGTTTATCCTGCTGCTGTTGACATATCTTTTCACCATCTGTGGCAACTTGCTCATCTTCTTAGTCATACGTCTGGATGCAGCACTGCACACACCCATGTACCACTTTGTTAGTGTTTTATCCTTCTTGGAGTTGTGGTATACAGCCACCACCATTCCCAAGATGCTAACTAACCTTCTCAGTGAGAAGAAGACCATTTCTTTTTTAGGTTGCCTCCTTCAGACCTACTTCTTCCACTCCTTAGGGGCCTCCGAATGCTACCTTCTTACAGCCATGGCCTATGACCGATACCTCGCAATCTGCCGGCCTCTCCACTACCCTGCGATTATGACCACAGCACTCTGCACCAAGATGGCTGCTGGTTGTTGGACTTGTGGCTTCCTATGCCCCATTTCTGAGGTCATCCTGGTCTCCCAGCTCCCCTTCTGTGGCTACAATGAAATCCAACACATCTTCTGTGACTTCCCACCTCTGCTGAGCCTGGCCTGCAAGGACACATCCACTAACGTTCTGGTGGATTTTGCCATCAATGCTTTCATCATCCTTATCACTTTCCTCTTCATTATGATTTCTTACGGGAGAATTATAGGGGCTGTCTTGAAGATAAAAACAGCAGCAGGACGAAAGAAGGCCTTCTCTACATGTGCCTCACATCTCATTGTGGTCCTCATCTTCTTTGGGAGCATCATCTTCATGTACGTGCGACTAAGAAAGAGCTATTCACTGACCCTTGACCGCACACTTGCTGTAGTCTACTCTGTGCTAACACCACTGGTCAACCCAATTATCTATAGTCTCCGGAACAAGGAACTCATTAAGGCCATCAAGAGGACCATTTTCCAGAAGGAGGTGAAAGTTAGTTCTAGTCACCATTGACTTCATTCACTTCAGTGTTTGTCTCATAAATATTCTACCTATCTTTGGTAGAATTCTATCCCTGTAGTTCTATTACTGGTAGTTCTATTACTATGATAGTATCCTGATCAATAACAGTAACTAACTCTTCCTATCTTTGGCTTGGCATTGAATAATCTTCCCATTGCCACACAAGTGCCACACACCCCATCCTCTTGCCTTCTCAAATACTTTATTTCTACATGTTTTCTTAGGTTTCCTACATCTTTACTCTTTGTGTTTTTTTTTTTTTATTTTTAAAAATTATTTATTTAATTTTATTTTTTATTATTATTAGTTTCTTTCTTTTAAAAAATTTTGAACAGAGAAAAAGAGAGAGAGAGAGAAAGGAGCGAGTGAGAGAAAATGATAAAGTAAGCTGCGAGGCCTAGGCCTTGAACCACGGTCAGTCATGTGGGAATCCAATGCCTTAATCTGCCACCTGCCAGCTCCTCTCCTATCTGTTTTTTAATTGATTAGTAATGTCATTTCTTTTTTTAAGAGATATTTTTGCTATCATGCATATGCACTCACTGGAGAGAGAGAGAAATAGAAAGTGAGAAATAACGCCCCCAAGGGAAGATGGCCACGCCACAATCCTTTCTCCTCCATTCTCCCCTCAGGGTTTTGGGCACACACACATGTGCCCAGTGTGACTTTTAAGCCACCAGATCTGGACTCGAATGACAGTCGACCATGTGGGAGTCCAACAGTGTAACCATTATGCCATCTGTTGGTCCCAGTAATGTCAACATTTAAGAATACTTTAGTATCTCTATTTTTAAAAAAAGCATATACATTTCCTTCTGTCCAGTTAAAGGTCAGTTTTTTTACTCTTTTTTTTTTTTTTTTCAGTCAAACTTCCCCAAACAACCTGTCTTCTCTTCTTCAATTTCTATTCACTTTTCAACACATTCCAATCTGGCTTTGGCTCAGACCTTCTGACCAATATTTTGCCAAGGTTATAATGACCTTCATGCTGTGAACTTCAGCAGATCCTTCCAGGATTTCCTTTTTGTTGAACTCTTGACATACATTGCCAGTTTTAAGTTCCAGAGAAAAGATTTGTCTTTTAGCTCCTATGACATCAGTATCTACATATTTTCCCCTTATCTTTGTAGTCAGTCTTTTTCAGTCTGCTTTGTCCTATATCAGTCTCTTCCTAGATACTCAGAGTTATTTTTATGGTTTCAGCATGGTTTCTATTCATGCCAAGGCTCTTGAATTTATATCTCCAAACCACACCTCTCTTCTGATCTTTCAACTTACCTATTCAAGTGCACTTACTTCCTCTCCTGACTAATATAAGGAAATAAATTCTTTCTCAAAACATATCCTTCGTGTCAGCTCCATGGCCGGGTAACTAGGGCAGCCATATCCCGCATGGCCAGCAATGTGGTTCAAGTCCTGGACTTGGTGGTGTGGGCACATGTGTGTGTGCATGCCCAAAATCCGAGGTAAAAGGGATTACAGAGTGACCATTCCCATTAGGGGGTGTTTTTTCCTCACTCTATCCCAAAATTATGTATATGTATATCTATCTAGGTATATTATATCAACCTATCTCTATCTCTATCTATCATCTATCTATCTATCTATCTATCTATCTATCTATCTATCTATCTATATCTATCTAATCTTTCTATTTAGGTAGATAGGTAGGTATAGATATAATTCTTAAATCTGTTTTTTTTGTTTGTTTGTTACTCCCCTGTTATAAACCACCAATATCTCTCAATTAGAGTGCTGCAATTATATTCTACCTACTCCCTTTATTCCTACTTTTGTTCCATTCCAGTACATATGTATATGTGTGTATATAGATATAGATATATGTGTGTATATATAGATAGATAGATAGAGAGATATGTATGTATATATGTGTATGTACACATGTATACACTCACACACATATACATTCATACACAATAATCCCTAAAATAGACAAGTGGGACTATATTAGACTAAGAAGTTTGTGCACAGCAAAGGACACAGTAACAAGTGTGAACTGACAACCCTCAGAATGGGAAAATATTTTTGTTAAATATACCTCAGACAAGGGGCTGATAACCAGAAAACACAGGAAGCTCAAGTGCCTCATGTGAAAAAAAAAATGATTAACCCAATTAAAAGATGGGAGAATGTGCTGTATAAAAATCTCTCTAAGGAAGACATACAAACAGCCAAAAAGCATATGAGGAAATGCTCAACATCCCTCATCATAAGGGAGATGCAGATAAAAACCACAATGAGATACCACCTAACCCCTGTCAGAATGGCAAAGATTAAGAATATAAAAAGTGATAAGTGTTGGCAGGGATGTGGTGAAAAGGGAACCCTCCTACACTGTTGGTAGGAATGTAAACTAGTTCAACCACTGTGGAGAACAATATGGAGGTTCCTCAAAGATCTACAAATAGAACTACCATTTGATCCAGCAATCCCACTTCTGGGTATTTACCCAAAAGACAGGAGAACACTCAGTCAGAAAAGTGCTTGCACATCAATGTTTATTGCAGCATTATTCACAATTGCCAAGACATGGAACCAGTCTAAATGTCCACAAACATGAACGGATTGGAAAAGTGTGGAATATATACTCTATGGAATACTACTCAGCCAAAAAAATAACAAGACCCTGGAATTTAATAGAAAGTGGTCAGATATGGAGGATCTATTGCTGAGTGAAGTAAGCCAGGCTATGAAAAAAAGACATTGTATGTATCTACTTAATATATACCGACTATCCACACACTATGGTAGAGAGCAAAATATTGGAGGACATAAAAGTAGTGAAAGTACTTAATGAGAATAAGACAGTGGGGAATGGGAGAGTAAAGAGAAGAGGACAGAGAAAGATAGCAAGTGAACAATAGAGAGACAGGACATTAGTGAGAAACAGGGGTTATCAACTGTTGATGATGACATGTATAGTATTCTCAACTGGATTGGTCTGAGAAGTATTTCACAATGGGCAAAGTCTTTTTACAATTATTATTTAACTTTATTCATTTACTTATTTTAATTTGACCAGAGAGGGACATAGAGACAGAGAGAGAGAGAGAGAGAGGGAAAGAAAGTGAGAAAGCAAGCCACCAGGTCCAGGACTTCGTCCACCGTTGGCCATGTGGGAGTCTAGTGCCCTTAACCACCTTGCCTACTGGCCCCTCTAGTGTATATTTTTCCACATAAAACTCAAGATGTTATGTTTTAAACCAAAATGAATACGCCATTTCTAAAGCCAAGAAGATTCTCATTTGTATTTAAGATAAAATCCAAACCCTCCTTGTACTTTAGAAAACAAAATATAATTCCTCCCTGCCTTAGTCTCCAACATTGAGTCACACCTCTTCTCCCTCAGTTTCCCCTTCCTTAGCTATGTTATTACTCTAAGTTTTTTAAGTACATGAAGATATTTCAGAACATTTTCACTGTTTTTTATTCCCCAGCACTTCATTTGACTCATTCCTCCGAATCGTGTGAATTTCTGCTTAAATATCACTTCTATACAACATTCTCTTTCAGATAACTTCTTAGCATCCAGTCTAATTTATGTTACTCATTTTTGTCTTTTAAATTATGCTTCATTTTCCTTTAAAATATATATGACAATTTATATGTGTATAAACATTTGTATATCTTTTGATATAAAGAAATTGGATTGTAAAAGTCATGACGCATTTTTGTATGGGAAAACATAGAAAAATATGTATGACTTTCCCGACAACCCAGTAGGTAGCATAGATATAATTTGTCATTCTTTCCTACAAAACTATAAACTACATTTAGTTTGAAATAATTTGGTTTTGTTATTCGCTATATGTCCAGTCTAACAGTATCTATACATTGTGAGTATTCAGTAACAGCATAGTGAATGCAAGATTCCATTGTATATAATGACACTTTTCTCACAGTACTTTTTAAATTCTTTCAGTCTTTGACTTCTAATATTTTATTGAGAACCCATTTGTGTTGAGTCTGTTGTAAGCTTCTTCCATCTGGATGTATGTATCTTTTACAAGATTAGGGAAGATTTTAGCTATTACTTTATTAAATAAGTTTTCTGCCTCTATATTTATCTCTTCTTCTCTTGGAATTGATATGATGCACATTTGTTGTTTTGATGGTATCTCTTAAGTTTTGAAAAGTACGTTCATTTTATTTACTTATTTTTGTACTTTTTTCCATCATTGGATACTCTCAAGAGATTTATCATCCAGGTTGGACATTCTTCTTGATCTAGTCTGCTGTTGAAGTTCTCTATTATGTTTTTAATTTCATTTTGAAGTGTTCTTATTTGATTTTCTGTGTCACATTTTCATTCTTATCTTAAATTGTTTTTCTGATTTTGTTGAATTGTTTATCAATATATTTCTGTATTTCTCTGAGTTTTTTAGAATCATTTTTTTTTTACATTCCCAATCAGGAATTTCAAGAATTATGGCAGCATGCATGGTTAACCAGAGCTAAGATCTGGAAGCAAAGTAACTGTTCATCAAGAAACATTTGGATAAGGAAAATGTGATCTATATGACAAACAAGATGTGATAATTAAACATAATTAAGGACACTCCACTATACATATATAATAGAATGGTACTTAGCCATTTAGAAAAAATGAAATCTGGTCATTTGAGGTAATTCGTATGAGCCTAGAGATTATGTTAAGTGAAATAAACCAAGCACAGGTTCTCACTCATATGTAGATATCAGAAAGAATTGTATCATAGAAGTAAAGAATTGAAGAATGACTACTATATTCTGGGAAAGATGGGGAGAAGTAGAGATAAAGTTCTACAAAATTACATATATGTAAAATGAACAATTTTTAGTGTTGCAAAGTACATTGGGGTGAATATGGTTAACAATTCATTATATATTTCAGTGTAACTATAAAAGAGAATTTTTAATGTTCTCAGTACAAAATAACAAGTGGCTGAGATGATGGATCTACTACAAACTGTGACTTACTCACTATACAT